ATAAAGACTCCAAACTTTCCAGGTATTAGAGAATAAATTACAAAGTAATTCCTGGATATTTCAATGGCCGATGAAAAGCAGAATGTAAAAATAGATTTACAAATTAAATGTTAATTCATCAATAAACAGTTCAATATAAAAAGGGACTTACAGGAACAATTTAACTGTATTTATTTATATTTTAATAAATTCATTTGTGAACTTTTAATACCTATTCTACTAATACAAATACTTAATAATTATTTAAATAGTTTATTACAATTTCCAAACTTGTGGCCCTCTGTTCTGACGATCAGGTCAATTAAGATTAAACCCCCAAATTTTACAATAATTTACTCAGTTACTCAAATTTCTTAATAATTAATTACTTTTTATAGTAACTTTGTAAATTACATTTTGTAACCATTGTAACATTTCAGAATTTTAAAACTCCAAACACAGGTCAAACTGGAGGAATGGTTTCAATAAATAAAATATATGAATAAATATCTCATATCAATCTCTACAAAAACATCTTTGTTACCATGAAGCTTTAGTCACCAACTCAGAAACAACAGCAACTAATTTACCGTCAAAAAAGTTGACCAAAAAAACCCAACAGCCACTGAAAATGCAAAATGTTTTGCCTGTACACTACAGCTGATTATGACACACAGTTCATCGTCAGCGAAATGCAAATATATTAAAGGTTCTCTGTGGTTTCACATTATTAAACTGACCTACAGGTGGCAGCAACGCGCCAAGGAAGACCACATGAGGAGGAAACCCACGCTGACACAGGGAGAATATCTCAGAGCACCTGGAGGAAACCCACGCTGACACAGGGAGAACATGTCGGAGCACCTGGAGGAAACCCACGCTGACACAGGGAGAACATGTCGGAGCACCAGATAAAAGACAGCGGGTGAGTCGGGTGATACTATAAAAAATATGGTCATTTTATTTTAGAAAAACGTGCCAGCTCGCACTCACACATCATAGTTCTGTCTCCGTTCTTTAAGTAACAGCATATAAAACACAATACAAAGCACACAGACTTTAACTGCTGCACATGTGAGTTTATGAGAGTGAGAAGCCGTCAAGTCACTGTGAGATGTGTCATGTTGGTTGGGTGGTGAGGAGGTGTCTATAAAAACAAACAAACAAACTACGTCTAAACAGACAACAACAAACATCAGCTGTGAGTCTAACGGATATATTTCAATTACGATCCAGACTGGTCTTTCAAGTAAATCCAACAGACGGAGAAAATTCAAGTAATTCAAAACACAAAATGTTCAACAGAGATTTTTATCGGCCGTCGTGAGGGTGTGATTTTAGATTTAGTCTTTGTTTTTAGCTCCAGGGTCGTAAACACGTTAGTGCTAAAGTATTACTACGTTCTCAAAAAATATATATAAATACACTGCTCAAAAAAAATACTTAAATGTCACATCAGATCCTGATGAATGAATTACTCAAGTGTAAGATCTTTACTGATGTACGTTGTTTAATTTGTTGAGAACAAAATGGCATAACAGTGGTCAATGGAGACCAAATATGCCTGTATGACCTCATGACAACATCTGGGCATGCTCCTGATAAGTCGCCATGAGTGTCCTGGGGGATCTCCGACCAGACCTGGATCAGGGGAATCCAGGTCTGGTAGGAGTCGGATGCACTGATACATGTCGTCCCATAGGTGCTCAGTTAGATTTAGGTCAGGGGAACGAGAGGGCCAGTCAATGACATCAGTGCCTTCATCATCCAGGAACTGCCTACACACACAAGGCCGGGTCCTGCACCAGGAGGAACCCAGGGCCCACTGCACCAGGAGGAACCCAGGGCCCACTGTACCAGGAGGAACCTAGGGCCCTCTGCCCCAGGAGGAACCCAAGGCCCACTGCACCAGGAGGAACCCAGGGCCCTCTGCACCAGGAGGAACCCAGGGCCCTCTGCACCAGGAGGAACCCAAGGCCCACTGTACCAGGAGGAACCCAGGGCCCACTGCACCAGGAGGAACCCAGGGCCCTCTGCACCAGGAGGAACCCAGGGCCCCCTGCACCAGGAGGAACCCAGGGCCCCCTGCACCAGGAGGAACCCAGGGCCCACTGCACCAGGAGGAACCCAGGGCCCTCTGTACCAGGAGGAACCCAAGGCCCACTGTACCAGGAGGAACCCAGGGCCCTCTGCACCAGGAGGAACCCAGGCCCACTGTACCAGGAGAAACCCAAGGCCCACTGTACCAGGAGGAACCCAGGGCCCTCTGCACCAGGAGGAACCCAAGGCCCACTGTACCAGGAGGAACCCAGGGCCCTCTGCACCAGGAGGAACCAAGGGCCCACTGTACCAGGAGGAACCCAAGGCCCTCTGCACCAGGAGGAACCCAGGGCCCTCTGCACCAGGAGGAACCCAGGGCCCACTGTACCAGGAGGAACCCAAGGCCCTCTGCACCAGGAACCCAGGGCCCACTGTACCAGGAGGAACCCAAGGCCCACTGTACCAGGAGGAACCCAAGGCCCACTGTACCAGGAGGAACCCAGGGCCCTCTGTACCAGGAGGAACCCAGGGCCCTCTGCACCAGGAGGAACCCAGGGCCCTCTGCACCAGGAGGGACCCAGGGCCCTCTGCACCAGGAGGAACCCAGGGCCCTCTGCACCAGCCTAAGGTCGCTCTGAGGATTTCATCCTGGTACCTAACAGCAGTCAGGGTACAGCTGGCTATGACATGGAGGTCTGTGAGACCCTCCAAGGATCTGCCTCCCCAGACCATCACTGACCCACCACCAAACCCGTCATGCTGGATGATGTCACAGGCAGCATAATGTTTACCACGGCGTCTCAAAGACTCTGGGCACCAGTGACAGACCTGCTGATTTTGGATACCTAGATAGCGGTCCTGCTGCTGGGTTGATGCCCTTTTACAGCCCTGTCCAGCTCTCCTGGTGTAACGGCCAGTCTCCTGGTATCTGGTATCAACCTGACTGGGCTGCAGGTACGGCCTCATGCTACCAGTAGTGACAAGGACACTAGCAGAAGACCAAACTAGAGAAGAATCAGTGAGGAAGGATAAGGAGAGAGCAACTGTCTGTGGACACCACATAGAAAACCATTTCCTGTTTGTCTCTTTGATTTGACCCAAAGCAGCTGAAACTGATTCACAATCACTTGATTGATCCCTGAAATTTAGCTGACTTCCTGTTAGACTGTGACCATCAAGTGTTCCCTTCATGTGTTTGAGCAGTGTATGTATATAAAACTTGTTCTCTTTGGTTGGTTGTGGCTCAGGATGTAGAGCAGGTTGTTTGTCCACTACCTGGTAGATTGGCAGTTTGATCCCCGGCTCCTCCAGCTCAAATGTTGAGGTATTCTTGAGCAAAATAAAAACTCTTCAGAACAACTTAACTTGCGCAAACAAGACAATAACTTTTGAGAACAAGACAGAATAGAAATAAGATCATAAATTCCACAAACATTATTACGTTTTGTTCAGATCAGATCCCTTTAACAAGATGATATTTGTGTGATATAGTCCGGTCAATCTGACTCAAAAATGGGCCCAACCCAGGAGAAACTGCAACAGTAATGTTTCATACTTTTTATTGGTTCTAATATTAAAAGTACACCTTTGTGGATTTAGTGGAACATTAATAATTCCAGGTCAATATTTCCAACAAAGCACTTTTTAAGAGGATACTCTGATGTATTGTTCCTGTATTTGAGGCACTACCACCCAACAACCATTTTTTTGCCACACTGCTCCTATGGGTGCATCTAAACTGGGCATAAATGACTCTAGATATATTTAGTATCTATAACATCATCATTTGTTGTAGGTGTGAGAGTTATGTAGGGGACTGTAGTGTGCTGACTGGTTCTCATCCATCCATTCATTTTCATCTGCTTATCCGGGGCCAGGTCTCAGGGGCAGCAGGTCAAACAAAGCAACCCAGACGTCCCTTTCCTCAGCAACGCTTTCCAGCTCCTCCTGGAGGACCCCGAGGCGTTCCCAGACTAGATGAGATCTATAATCCCTCCAGTGTGTTCTGGGTCTGCCCCGGGGCCTCCTACCAGCTGGACCAGGAGGATCCTGATCAGATGTTGAACCACCTCAACTAAAGGTGCAGCGGCTCTACTCCAAGCTCTGATCTCTAAGGCTGAGCCCAGACACCTTACAGAGGAACCTCTTCTCTGCTGCTTGTATCTGTGACCTCATTCTTTCAGTCACTACCCAGAGCTCACGACTATAGGTGAGGGTTGGGACGTAGATGGACCAGGAAATCACCCTCCAGCTCAGCTCCCTCTTCACTACGAAGGTCCAGCGCAGCGCCCGCATCACTGCAGAAGCCGCACCACACCGCCGATCCTTCTCAGGCTCCACTCTACCCTCACTTGTGAACAAGACCTCAGGACACTTGAACTCCCTCGCTTGAGGCAGGAACTTTCTGCCAACCCGAAGGGAACAGTCCACCGGTTTTCGGCAGAGAACCATGACCTCAGATTTGGAGACTCTCATCCTGACCGCTTCACACTCTACTGAAAACTGCCCAGGTCATGCTGGAGGTCACGGTTTGATGACGCCAACAGAACCACATCATCTGCAAAAAGCAGAGATGCAATTCTGAGGTCATCAAACCGGACCCCTTCCAACGCCCAGATGCACCTTAAGATCCTGTCAATGAATATCACAACAGGATCGGTGACAAGGGAGAAGCTGGTTCTATTAGCTACTGCTCTACTCTATTCTATTCAACATTTCAAGCTTCAGTGGCACCAACGTTAAAAGAATTAAGTCCTTAATTTACCTTGATCCACTCAGTATATAATGCTGTACTTGTAATATGTTATTTGGACGTCCAAAGAGATCACAGAGATCCTCGGATGATTGCTGTTGCAGTTTTCCTGGGGTCAGACCACAGACTGACTGGACTAATATCTCGTGAAGATGTTTTGTTCATAAAGTCTCAGGTCCTTTGCAATAAAACACACATTAATTTAAAATCACTGAACCTGCAGACAGTGTTCTGGGTGAATTTGAGTTTAATATAAAATATCTTAAAGCACAAATGTTCTTGCACACAACAATGCGACTGATTTCCAGCTGTTTGAAGCGGTAAAGCTGCAGCAGGACAACACAGTGCTTCATTAAATACAGATAATCAACATCCTCCATCTGTTGGCAAAGAGATTCACGTGAGAGGGTTAAATATGTTCGAATCATCAGACCTTGGGATGATAATCAGAATCTGTTGTAACAAAATTATTTCACAGTTGTAATATGTCTGTGTCAGTGTTCAAACATGTCTCTGGTTGTTTGGAAACTGGTTTCTGGAAGTTTCCGTTTGGTGATGAAACTTCCTGGGTCGGACTCCTTAAAAAAACAAACAAGACACTGACAGGCTACACATCCTACACATCCGATAACACTCCAGCGTTGGTTGAGAAATGTAAACATTTGAGTTTGTTGAGCAGGTGATTGGTGGCGTGGTGATCCGGGTTGTCGTGGAAGTAACAGGGCATCAAGGGCTCTGAGAGTCTGCGTATCGTATCCCAGAGGAGCTAACAGAGCGGTGAAGGCACTGACAGGGAGGAGCGGAAAAATGTCGGAATCAGACCGACCGACTGAAGCAAACCCAACGACTGCCGACAAACCTCCAGCGATGTGTTATGGTTTTTTTTTTTTTTTTTTTGTATGACAGCAGCGACAGGTTGGGACGCAAACACAAGCCCTTGAGTTGAAGATGAAAGCCATGAAGTCCGTCTGAAAGCGTAAGACAGAGGTACTCAGCAGTGAAAGTGTTGAGGATGCAGTGAATAGAGACTGAAGTGGTAAAAACAAACAACACAGTATGTACAGGTGGAGGTGGAAGGTGGAGGTGAGAGGCGACCAAGCAGAGGTCAAAGTTCACTTCAGGCCACCTGGAGAGCGCGTCCGTCCAAAACAAACTCCCGAACCCTTCTCGTCACCTTCACCTCCAGAAGAGTCGACTGGACAGAAGACGAACTCCTCGTCCTCCCAGGAATCAGAGACGAAGGCAGGTTTCTGTGGACACAACAGCCATTCTATCAGCTCAGACTATGATGAATAATTATTTAGTTTTTATCTTGAAATGAACAGCAGCAACTTCAGAGATGTAAAACGTTTAAAAAAAACAGGAGTAACAAGGACGAAGAAAAGAACAGACGTTCGTACCTTGAGGTCACCGGCTCAGGACTCGCTATGTGGTGGAGCTTCCTCTCCTCTCCAGGAATCTGCTCCACACAACAAGAGAAAACTGGATTAGTTTGGTGGTTTTTGGCCAGCGAGTGATGTGGTGCGAACAGGCGACGTCCAAACCACAAATAAAAAGTGAAAGAAGTCCAAACATAAACAGACGAGCAGAGGGAGGAAGCAGGATTGCTGCTTGTGTATTTCCACATATTTGAGGTTTGTTTGGTTATTCGATGCCGTTCGTGGAGCGACTCCAAAAATGTTCTGCTATTTTTAAATGTTTCCTTCAAACATCAGATGATGAAGCAGATTAGTTCTGTTTAAAAGTGGTTTCTGTGTAAAAATACTGCAGCATGTTTGGTCTCTACAGATTCTGTTAGAGCGACTGGAAAAGATCTTCAGTTGGATTTCAGTCACTCAGAATGAGTAAATATCTGACTGAAACTTTTCTGACCACCACTGCAGCTCAGATCATTTTGTCTAAACTAAACTCTTTACAAGACCAAATACATTCGTAACACAAACTTATTTCTATGTGAAAACATGATTCAGTTTTCTGTTCAGTGGTAAAACTTTTGTGAATCCATCTTGAATGATTTCATAAAAATTATCAACTTATAATAAATTATCCAGCTGTAAAAGCTTCTAATAATGAGTTTATATTCTAAATTATTCTAATAAATTATTCTCTTTTTTTTGGTTTTCTATTTTAAATTTGGAGTTAAAAGAGGTTGCTGTAAATGGTTAAAAATGTAAAAAAAAAAAAAAAGCATTTCAAATGTTAAAAATAATCTTTTTAAATGTTTAAAAACTAAGGAAAAGCCGTTTTAACTTTTTAAAACATGAAAATGATAAAAAAAAATTAAAAAAAGAAAAAAGAAAAAAATTAAGTCATAAATGTTAAATAAAAAGAAAGATGTTATTTTAAATGTCAAAATGTAAGTATTTTTAAAAATTAAAAAAGGTGAAAGGAAGTTTTTTGAATGATAAAAATACATAAAGAAGTATTCTGGACTGTTAAAAAATTTGTAAAGGAAGTCTTTTTAAGTGTTAAAAATATGAAAAGGGAGTATTTTTAAACGACAAAGCAGTTTGTGTATTTTTTTCATTTGTGAATAAACTTAGACTAAACAAAAATTAAAAACATGTTTTAACAAGTCTTCACTTTGAGTCCCAGTTCACAATTGGTTTCCAGTAATTTTCACAAACATTCAAACACTCACACTTGAGTCTGTCGCACAAAGTCTGCAAAGTGTTGATCTCTGGCACACAACTCGATTATCCTGAGACGCTCCTGGATCTCCTGCAGAGAGGTCAGAGGGAGGAAAACATGTTTAAGTAACAGCTCTGTTGTGAGGTCAGTGAACCGGTTGTAGACTGGAGAGGAGGAGGAGGAGGACGACGACGACGATGACAACAAAGAGGAGGTACAAATTCTGCGTAGTGCTGAGACTGAAAATGTCACAACACTCGACTGTCTCTCATTTAACTGAACGTTTCCTGTGATATTACAAACAGGAACCAGAGTAACAGTGAAGAAGTGATGACAGCCTCAAATTTGTTCTTTAGCGGAATGTACGTGTGATTTTAGAGAAATCTTCTTGTAATTTGAATTTTCTCTGAGATATGAAGAAAATTTACAAGATTTTGAGGCTCAAATCTGGGACCACTTTTGTTTCTATTTATATAGACCCTTTTACTGTTAGTAAACAGTATGATTTTTGTTGGTGGGCGGGGCTTAGCTGGATGCAAAACAGTTCTCCACAGACATTAGCTAGCGCTAGCTAACAAGTTGTGTTGTCTTGTTTTAGACGATGGAGAAAGATGATGTGAGTGGTGCGTTCAGAAACACTCATTGTGAGTGTGGGAGCGCACTCTGACACAAACTGGAGCGTTGATAAATTGGGAGCGCTGTCTGAATGTAGCGTTGGGTTATCCAGAGCAGCGCACTCTCAGAGTGGCAGAGCACACTCTGGACACTCTGTCTGTGGAGACGGAGCAGCAGAGCGCCGAGCGGAGTGAATGTGTGATTAACTTAACCGTTGGTTCATTCATGTAGAAATAAAACGCTGCGTTTCTTCCACCAACAGGGCTCTCATTTTAGTGTAGAGCATCAGACTGAATTTACCAACGCACCATGTCAGGTCACTCACTCTCCGGGACCGCCAGTGTTACTTGAATAAGTAAACACTGACCAACGGGACCAGACTGGCCGACCCGTATGCTCTCACTCAGTGGATGGATGATGTCACAGGAAGCCAATCTGACAAAGGAGGACCACACTTGTTTGTTTTGCTATGGAAGCTAACGTTAGCTAATGTGCTAAAAAGTTAGCGTTGCAGAGAAATCCAATATTCCTCTTAATCCCTCCCCAGTTTCTGATGAGGTGGACATGATAACCCTTAATACACATAACCTTATTCATCCCTACAACAGGAAATACTTTTTCCCTAACCTGATATGAAGTGTGCGCTGCACATGTGAACATTTTTGATGATGGCCTCCGTCCAGTCCTTTGGTCTTATCACATTTAACCATAGTTGTCTTTGTTTTTGTTGACGGGCAGTGGCGGCTGGTTTTGAGCCATGACTCCTTCTATTCTGGCTCCCAATAACACAACAAGACAAACACATTTTAACACTCCTGTGGAGCCTACAGCCCTGTGGGGGAGAGGCAGCTGCACCTCCAGCTGATAACATGATGTCATCGTGAAGTTGGCCAAAAAAGGGTCTGTTCTGATTACATGGACACAATATAAGAATTCACTTCTATGCTGACGACACTCAGCTGTATGTAACATAAAATCTTGTCCCGTCTTCCACAGACTTTGAGTTACATTTCACTGAAACAAGAAAATAATGTGTTCACAAACATGACGGCCAGAGGTACCTCCTTGGTTAGCGTGGTGTCTTGGTAGATGTGTTGTAGCTCATCGTTGCCAACGTCTCTGGAGCCATCGGCTCCAGCAGATCTGCTGTACTGGGGCACATCATCGTCGTAGCGACGGTAATACTGGGCCATGACCGGGTCACTCTCGAACATGGGGTTGAACTTGGTGGCTCGCTCCAGTGTTGGCACACTGTCGCCACGTCTGGAGAAAGGAAACATTAAGGTTGACTCAACAAACTCTTGGATCAAAATAAACATTAAATTGTAAACCATACGGTCTGATGGTGTTGTCGCCAACCGTAGAGGGTCCTCGGTGTCCTCCCCATCGTACTGCTCTCGCAGCGTCCTTGCCAGGAAGAAGATGATCCCAGCCGCCACCATGAGAAAGCCAGCCACTGAGGCTATGGCGATGCCCACCACCAGTGGCTCGGAGACATACTCCTCACAGTGCTCACCACGGTACCACCAGTTCTCACCAACCCGACACCTGTGGAGAAGGTCACAAGTTTAATGCCCACATCTATAACATCTGTTGTCTGTTCTCTCTGTTGAACCACTGTAAGGAAAAAATGTGCAGTGTCACATGTTTAATGTAAACTGTCACACAACCAGAGCTGTTTACGTCCTGTTTGCACCATGAGACAAGGATGGCTGCATCAAAGCTCCCAAACAGAAGTTTAGTAAAGTTTGTTGACATAAAGACAGGACAGAGATTTTTGGTACACAGTATCTTTAAGGTGTCTGGTGTTGACTCAACTTTGTTCAGTGGGGTCACAGAATTAGTGAATATGTTGACAGCAACAATAATGACCAGTGGGATAACACAGTGTATCTAAATGTTCATGTACTTAAACACATACATAGTTCTTATTCTACCTAACTTTCTACTCTTCTTTTTTAGGTTAACTTTGAATGAAGTTTCGGAAATGTGGGGTCTGTGTGACAACCCACATGATGCATACAACCTCACAACTGTCCCTCATGCTGTCTTCAGTGAATGTGATGGCGATGGGTCAGGTATAGGCTATGAGGGGGAGATGGGCCGTTGAATATATATGCTGAACCTATGCAAACACATCATGACGGGAACAACTTTATCAGTGACTACAACCTCCTCCCCCAGCCTGTTCTCATTCCGAAGTTGCTGAATACTGCCACTTTGTCAGTGATTTCAGTGTCAGGCACCTGATGCCAAAAGCCACCTTTGACCCTGATCACACAAAAAGCATTTTAGCAGCTGGAGGCAGCTTTTTGTTATTGTCTTTAATGAGAATGAAGCTTTTTGCTCACTGTTTTTGCTTTGCTACGCACCCCACGTCTCTGCCTGGCATTTTTGCCGGAACGCTCTTAACTCTTCAAGTTGAAAAAACTTCAACTCAGAGTGGAAACGCGCCCCCTGTCATCTCTTTTCCCATTGTCCAATCGGATGATCTGAGAGGCGGGCCTTCTGTGGTGGTCACGACAACAAGTTTTCAGTTGGTAAACAATGGAGGTGGTTGCTGGATGTCCAGGGCTATACAACTTTACAAACTCCAGTTATAGACTGCCCCCGAGTCATCCTAAAATATGCCTGGAAACGTCCATCATGGAGGCGAAGCCCCTGGACCAACTGGTGGTACTCCCCTTGATCCAGCCTCTTTTTTAGGGTCTCATGTACCCACACAGATCTCAAAAAACCAGATTAATTAGGACAACGTGTTGGAATGAGACTCTTGGACGTGACCCTTGGACGAAACCTTGGGATTGACCCTAGGACGAGGCCTTGGAACAAGACTCTAGGATGTGGCCCTGGGACAAAACCTTGGGATTGAAATGTTCTGGGAAAGTTTTGGTAATGTGTTAAAGTTAGACATTTATTTCTTGTAAGACCTTGTAACCTGCCAAAACCTAATGTATCCTTTTTCTTTAAAGAGCAGTGTTGTAGCCTGAGATCTAAGATTTTCATTGCTGACTGCAATGACTGTTACTCTTTAACTGCTGAGCACATGATAAATAAGGAACGGGAAAACTTATAATCATTTTTGCATCCAAGACCCAAAAAAACTCAGATGTTGTACAAGAAGCTTAAAAAGAATGCAAAGAAATTCTGTCAAACAAATAAAAGTCACCAGTAAGGTTCTTTAAGCGACAAAGAAAAGTAATCCGAGTACTTCTGTGTGCTGATATTTTAAGAGTGTAAAACCTTCCCTGACCTGCAGATGGCACCCTTGCCGGGGATGACGTCACATTTGCCGTCGTTGAGGCAGAAGTCGTACTGCACTTCACAGATGCTCTGACACGGCAGGCCATCCACACTCAGGTACCCGGCATAGCACACGCACTCGGCCTCGCCTGACCACTTGTTCACCATACACCTGGAGAACTCGTTACATGCCTGGAACTTACAGGGGTCCGCCCGGTCACCTGAGGAGGAAGCAACAGAGACAGAATAAGTTTTAGTTGATTAATTTAAACTTTTCTGATGATTGAAGTATTTTTTCCTGTAAAGCATTTCATGGTCACAGCTTCACAAACTTTTCCGTTGAATAATGTCAATAATTGTAACGTATTAGAAATAAAATATCTGCAGTGTTCTGCACCCAGTCAACCCCAGGATGAGACCTTGGAATGAAACCCTGGGATGGTACCTTTGGTTAGACCCCGGGACGAGACCTTGGGTCAGACTCCAGGACAAGACCTTGGAATGAGACCCTAGGACATGACCCTGGGATGAAACCTTGGGACTGACCCTGTGACGAGACCTCAGGGCAGACTTCGGGACAAGAACGCCGAACAAAATCTTGAGATGAGACCTTGAGATAGACCCTAGGTGGAGACCTTGGGGCAAGCCAAGGGACAAGACCTTGGGCCTGAACTCAGGATGAGACCCTAGGATTAGAATTTGTGGTAGAACCTGAGACAAAACTTGAGATTGTAAGATGAGACCTTAGGCTGAGAGTCTAGGAACATGACTCTAGGATGACACCTTGGGACTGACCCAGGGAACGAGATCTAAAGTCCAAATCCAGCCTCTACAGAATCCAGTACGGTTCTGTAGGACCATGTGCTTGTGCAATGGAAAACTTCCTTCAGGGTGCAGTGGAGAGGAGTAAAGTGATTACCAGCTGTCCACAGTGACTCACTGCTGTAGATTATCAGGTTGTCAGGAGCTCCTGTGATTGGCTCAGACAGATTAAAGAGCTGCAGCTCAGCAGAGATGGAAGTGACAGTAAATCTCACGTTACAGTCCACAGAAATCATCCCGCAAATCATCCAAAATTACTTCACCTCTCTCAAATGTAAATGTACACTTTGGACACAACAGAATACACCCAACAAAAAAAAAATAAAGTATTAAAAGTATACTCAGTAAAATGTGTTTGATGTATTAAAAGTATAAAGTGTCCCCTGTGACTGTTATAATATTATATATGATGTCATTAGATGACTCTGACTCATGCATTGATGTAGAAGAAGGATTTTACTGCTGTAGTTGGAAGTAGAGCTCATTTTACAATTGACTGATTATTTTCATTATGGATTAATCTACTTATTATTTTCTCCATTAATCAATTGTTTGTTTTGTTTAAACAGTAAAAACAGTGAGAAATGTTTGTCACAATGAGCCCAATGTAACCCTTCCCCAATGTTTGTTTAAGCTCAGCATTATTACTAATACATTACAACTATTACCATTATTACATTTACGTTACAATTTTTACCATTAATACTAATATATTACAATTATTACCATAATTGTTTCTACATTACAATTATTATCACTATTATAAATATGTTATTATATATTATATTATTAACAATATTACTTATAAGTGACAAATATTAACATTATTATTTATGGGTTGCAATTTTTACCACTATTATTTAAACATTACAATTATTACTATTATTACTCATACCTTACAATCCTTAACATAATTACTATTACAAATTTTACTATTATTACTAAGTCATTACAATTATTACTATTATTACAATACGTTACAATTATAACCATTATTATTAACACGCTACAACTTTTTACCATTATCAACAATGTGTTACAATTATTAACACTATTAATAATACTTTACAATTTTTACCACTACTAGTAATTCTTTGTAATAATTACTGTTATTACTAATATGTTACAATTATTAAAATTATTACTAATACTTTCCAATTGTTACCATTATTGTTAATACATTTTTACAATGATTATTAATACGTTACAATTACTAAAAATATTCAGAGGAAAAGTTTGTGAAGTTTGAACCATGAAATATTTTTACAAGGAAAAAACATTTCATGGTTGCTTCTCTGTCAATCGACCATCTGGAGTATGTTTTCAACACCACGCCCCCTTTTGAGACCAAACAATGCAGCATTAAACAAGGAAGTCAAAACATGTCTCCAAATTTTAAACCAACCGCTTTAAATTAACAGCGCTATACCGAAGAGTTATTGTATGGTTGGTTGCATCAATAATATATCCAAAAATGCTGACGTCTAATTTGTTCCCCTTCCATGTCTTAAAAAAAACATCCAGATAGAAGGACTTTGACTCCAGGCTATAGACCAGACCGGCTCCCTTCACCGCAGACCCCATGCCCCCCTTTTGGGGCTGTTGTAGAGAAATGGTAAAAAGCCAAAAAGCTGTTGTGTAGTGAGTTAACCGTGCTGTTCCCACTGAGATCTGAAGCTCATAAGATTTGTGAATGTTCACTGTCAGTGTGGTCGATCTTTAAATGATGCTGGTGATGGCCACTACTGATGTACGGTGCAGTCATATAGTTAATGCCTAATGATTCCTGGTGACCACATCAAATATGTATAAATGTCCAGATGAACAATATTCAGCCCCTGTGATGGGTTGAGGCAGGGCTGGGTATCAACACTCGACACCTTTAAGGTATAGACTGAAACAACCCAGAATCAAGTAGTACCAAACATCTCCAGTCAAATGATACCTTCATGTGATTCTCTGATTGAATGAATTTGCAGCCAATCACCACCAGCGTTCTGTATTTGACAGAGTTGGCAGTTCAGCGTACCAAAATGCCACCAAAATGTTCGTATGTATGGCTATACTACACATTCTGGGTATTGAATTACAGTAAGTACTCTCTAGCTATCAGTGTAACCCCTAGGTATGGGTCAATATAAATATAAAATTTTCGATTAAAATCGTTTGTATATTTTGAGGCTGTTGCGTATGCAGCCTGTTTTTATAGCGTCTCTTTAATTGTTGGTTGCCTTGCAGCCTCTTTGGTGCTGCTAAACATGATATTTACCATTATCCAGAGAAACTTTTTGTTTTTTATTACGATCTGCGATAAAATAGTAAATCATCTAGGGCTGCCCCCGACTAAGAATTTTCCAAGTTAACCAGTAGTCATCATTTAGGTCCATCAGTGGACCAACAGTCCTCATCAGGGTCCATCAGTGGACCAACAGTCCTCATCAGGGTCCATCAGTGGACTAGTCTCCTGCATGTTTCTGATATGAATGTAATGATTAAATGATATATTTTGGTGGTTTGAGTTGAAGGTGTGAGAAAGAATCAGTAACATTGTTAACACTGTGCTACATTACAGAGAAATACAAACCGTACTAATGAACCTTCATTAATATAGGCCTATATTTTATCTCCAAGTGCACGTCACACACTGAGCGAGCAGCCTGTTAATGACGCTGTGGGCTAATGGGCATGTAGCTACTTCCATGTTTCAAATGATACGTCATGTTTGTAGTCGACCAATGAAGATGAGTTTACATATCACCTTGGGTTCGTCCTTCACCTTCTCAAAATGATCCCACACTTTGGATTTCCTGCCCGACATGTTATTAACTAGCCTGTGGAATAACCGCAGGTACCAGCCCTGGAGATTAACCTGACTCCTGTCTGACTGCTGAGCGTGGACACTTCCTGTGTCTGTCCTTTCAGAGTAAACTCCCACATGCTCCAGTCATATAGGTTTGGATTTATTTTGACAAGGTGCAGCTCCTGATAGAGTTTCATGTTTGTTTTTTTGTTTTTGTTTTTCCATGACTAAGTGACCAATGAAGTCTTGCCCATCTTTCTGGTCAACTAATGTTTGGTTGACTAATAGGGGGTAGCCCTAATTTTGTCCCATCCCTAGTTGGGTCAGTGATCCATTTGGATGGGGGACGACTGATGGGACATGATGGCAAATTAAAGCTGCAATTATTATTCAATTAATTGATTAGTTGTCAAGTATTAAATTAAAGGCCATCTAATTTGATGATTGATAAATCCGTTTGAGTAATGATTTTTCTTTTAATAAAAAAAACCCCACAAGTCTAAAGTCAATGATTCCAGCTTCTTAATGTGAATATTTGCAGTTTTATTTCCTCCTTTGTGACAGTAAATCAAATATCTTTGGGTTGTGAACGTAACAAGACATTTGAGGATGTCATCTGATATATTTTTACATATTTCTAATGTTTTATAGTCCGAACAACTAATCGAGTAATGGAGAAGGTAACTGATGATGAAAACAATCGTTAGTGGCAGCCCTAATGGTGTCTAACCTTCAGGTACTGTGACCACTCATAAATGCACACAGACATGTCAAAATTATAACCCACTCACATGTTGGGGAACTTCTGTTTTCTACACCCCAAAAAGGGCATGGTCTTGACATTTCAAGTTCCTGTATGTGCCAGTCTGATGCATTAATGTCAATGACTTGTATAAACTGCTGTATGATTTATAACAAAACATCAGATTTTGAAAACTCTTACTTTGTAAAGTAACTACAGCCATCTGATAAATGTACTGGAAGTACGAGTACCTCAGGCTTACATTACCTGAGTAAATGTACCTCTGTCAGGCAGATAAAGACCACAGTGGATCAGAGTGACTCAGTGTGTGTTCTGCTGCTCACGTTCCTCTCAGACAGATTATCTCAGGTATTAGATCCTGACAGGAGCAACACAGGATTCACCTGCTGAGTATGAAACAGCTGCCAAATACAAACACTGTCTGAAGACACATACTCAACATACTTCTTGTAGTATTTTTTCCAGAGAGATAAATATGTGGGGGGTTTTTTTCATACAATCTGAGGCACTGAGGATAAATATGTGTGACAGACCTTAGTTTGGCGAAAATCCTAAAAGTCCCTTAAATCACTCATTCGTGCCTGTTAAATATGAAGAGGTTCTTTGTTTTAATGATAATACTTTTATACTTTTATTTCAGTAACTATTTTTACAGTGCGGTTTTAGTACTATTAATTGAGTAAAAGATCAGAGTACTTGTTGCACCTCTGGTGAATGCAGAAATCAGAATCCTGTTGGAAGTTTGCTTTTGTTGTAGTTGACCAACACGTTTCACTGAATCGCGCCTTCACAGGTATTTGTACTGTGAAAAATCTGCATCTTAATTGGAGCTTTGATTTTTGGGCCTGCTCCAACTCTGCAGATTCCCTCAGGCTTACATTGGAGTGAGTTTGAGCCAATTGAGCCTGTGATTTTTTTTTTTTTTTTTTAACGTGCAGACCTTACAGTCTGTGTCATGTCTGGAAAAATGTATGGACTGTCTTGACATCAACTAATTAGATTTAAACTGACAAAACTTTAGAATTAGGGGTCACAGTGAACACAAAACTCTGAGGTGCCGTGCCACACGGGTTGCATGAAACCAGAAGTTCTGGTGTGTAAATGGCAGAATTGCAACTTGGTTGGAGGCGGTTGCTTCTCCTTCCCTAGCAGTAGGACAGATGTGTTTAACATGCAACAGAGTGATTATCATCATCCACAAGCCACATCATTGTGGATCGCCACACACATGAAGACGGAGATGCACTGAGGGGCACAGGCCAGAAACCTGTATAGGTGAGACGCAGAGCCCACGACATTTCAGCCTGTAGATTGTAATAAATATTTTAATTTGGGATGTCAACAGTTAACTGAGCATATTTTTTATTGGTTACGCATGTAGGTTGAAAGGTTCATTTTGCTACTCTTCAGTTTACTGCACTGCGCACCACACAGGTCTGGTGGGAGACAGACAGCCGTTAGCTGTGTTAATATGCTGACACATAGTGCTCACTGCCAATCTGTTGGTCTCCACTGATTAGCTAATGTTGGCCTCAGCCACTCTGCACTGCACACCAACTGGGTTGGATGGAAGCTAGCTAGGGGCACCAGTCATTTGGTGGCTGCCGTAAGTAATGCCTTCCTTTCTCCCACCAGGTTGCCCTGGTGAGTGATAGGCTCAATTTTGAGCTTCAAACCCCTTTAGCATTCTTTACTTCACTGTTAGCTCTATTAGCCTATCAGCAGTGTCAGCATAGCTGATGTTGCTAACATAGTTAACAATGCTAAAGGGGGTTTCAGGGCAAAATGAAGCCGCTTACTCACTGTGGCGCCCTGTGGGGAGACCGGAGGGCAGTGGAGCAACTTGTTCTTTTTACCATCAGTTCCTAAAAAACCTATAAAATCATTCAAGTCTTTGTCCACTTTGTGCAGCACTTTGCAAAGATCACTTTGACTAGCTGTCAAACACGACAGGAAACAGTAATGTCAGTGCTAAAATAAGACAATAAATTACTCTCTCTGTTGCAGTGACACATATAAATAAACCTAACTCAGTGAAAATGGAGTCAAATGTTTTCTAAAAATCTTATTTTTGTGGTTGAGCCCTCAGCTCTTTGAAATGATTTGGATTGTAGGTCCACTACCGGGAGGGTGTTACCAGTGGTAATCAGGAATGAGCAGCACCTCTAGCTACCTTCCACCCAGTCTGGGTGGTGCGCAGTGCAGAGTGGGCAAGGCTAACTTTGGCTAACCAGTGTAGCTTGGAGGTTGGGCTGTGGGCACTATGTTTTTACATATTAACATGGCTAGCCGACTGTGTGTCAGGAAAGCTGACAGAAAATAAAATAAAAGGCGAAACATTAAACCCTCACCTCCTCTACATGGATAGACCCTTGAAATGCGGCGCTAAAGCTCACTGAGTCAATGGAGGGCGCACTAAAAGGAAAGGCCACTTGTATTTCACGGCATTTTGCGCTTTTTTTACCCCTAAAAATGAACCGATTACTTACCGGTTAACAGGTGTTGGGCTATTAAAGGGAATATAAACGAAACCGACATCCCTAATTTTAATGTTGAAGAAAACATATATTTTTCACTTTGGAAAATCTGTTTTTTTAGTCGGGCATGGGCCTAAAACTGCTGCCGTGGTTCAGGCTCAGGTCCAACTTGGACCTGAGCCTTTTTGTGGATCTCATGGAACAGTTCAATACACATCAACTTGTTTAAGACAACTATTAAAAGTGAAGCAGGAACGGAGCTGAAAAAAGTCCACTGAGATCATATTTTTGAGGCACAATTGATTCAGTCATCCAAAAAATGTTTCAGTAATCTGATCTTATTGAAGAATATTCATGATGGAGCTTTTATTTAAAAGAGAACTGATGTTCTGTGAATTCAGTGGAAAAAATTGAATGTTTGTCTTTCTCTATTTTACTGCTGTCCTACCGGATTCAACGTCCAGCGAGTACTTGTCGATGGCCAGGTTCATGGTTTGGTAGGCAGTGTTGGCGAAGTCCTCCAGGATGAGGTAGACGACGTTGGTTACCCCTTTGGGAACTGGCTTACCGAACCTCATCCTGCTGTTCACCACGATGCTGCCATTCCTGAAGTTAAGGATCTCCAGGTTCTGGAAGTTGTTCAGGTTGGACTGAAGGTACGGGACCAGCTGTGACGCGAAGACAAAGACATATGAAGAACGTAACATGTGAATGTAAAAGTTTAAATTCACTGGATTCTTTGAGTTCTCACCAGTTGGAGGAACCGTTGCTCCAGAGCCTTGTACTCAGGGGAGCTCTTGTTGAAGAGGTCCATGGAAAACGCCATGTTGGTCACCCTTAGGCTGAAGAACACCGTCAGGGCCCTGCCGGGTCGGGTCGGTAATGCGATGGCATCCAGGTCTGACCCCTGAGCCCCGCTCGAGAAGCCACTGCTGTCAGCCTCAGTTGCCACACCGCCATACTGGAACACATCAAAGCTGACGTTGATGCTTGGCACGTCGGAAAAAACGTGCTCGAAAGATTGGATCTCAGTAATGGGGGTGTTGTTGTTAACTTCCTGAAGCAAGGACGTTGTTTGGACCATATCGCTATCTAATTTACTCTCTGAAGTATTTGTCAAGGTGGTAAATGAGTTTTCATCTTGTGCTGAAGCACCTGGCGGCGCTTCTACAGCATCCGTTGGAGCATCTTCTGTTTTGTTCGCAACCACCACTGATGGCGTTAAATGAGGAACATCTTCAGTCGGACTGCTCACTGGAACTTCTTCAACGTCTTCATGGTTTGGATGCTCATGGTGAACCGGTTCCTCATCTTCTGGCGCCGAATCCGACACTCGAGTAAATGGTGAGTCCTTTTCAGGCGAGAGCGCGATGCTGCTGCTGTGGTCTGAACTTACAGAGGAAGTGAGGACAGGAGCAGCTGTCGTGGTGACAACCATGACTTCATCCACAGTCAGATCCTCGTCTTGGATGCCAACTGCCGGCACCGTCGTTATCTCAGGATCAGCGCCACCAATGTGTTGCACCTCCAAAATCTCAACTTCATCATGGTCTTCGGTTTCTGGCAGCAGCAGTTTGGGTTTTTCTGTAAGTATCTCGAGTTCTGGCGGCTCTTCAGTGACTGAATCAAAACTGGTTTCTTTGACTGTGACTGCCTGGACTTTGACAATCGTAGGGGACCCTTCGGTTGAGGAAACGCCAGGATCAGGTACTTCAGGTGCAACAATGACTTCAACCTCCTTTTTCTCAGGTACATCTTCTGATTTAAACCCATCTGTAGCCACTGGAAGCTCTGTTGCTGTTTCAGTAGTTACTTGTACATCTTTAGTGATTTCTGGAAGCTTAACTGCCGAATCGGTTGGCCCTGCAAAAACAGGGGCCTCACGAGTCCAGGCTTCAGGTTCAGGAGAATCTGTGACTGGTGCTGCACGGGTGTGAGGTCCAGTAGAGGAGTAGTCATCATAGATGAGAGATGTCTCCACTGTTTTTACTGAAAGTTCTATGTTCAAGGTTCCTTTTGGCGAGAATACAGGTGCTGTGGTGGTGGTTGAGTACCGAGGGTCAGTGCTGATGTGTGGTGTAATCAAAACCTGGTCCAAGAAAGGTTCCTCTATGCCTCTATCCAGCACTGATTCCTCAAAAGCAGGAACTGTTGTTGCCTGCAAAGGGGGAGCACTCGTGAACTCAACTTCCATCGCAATTACATCCGCTTTCTCAGTGGCTACTGTCTCAACACCATCGTCCTCATCTTCATCCTCGGTTTCCTCAAGATCAGGTGGCGGTAGCACCTCCAGGCTGCCATCACCGTCCTCATAGAAGCCAGCGCCGTCAGAGGTTGCTGCTGGCTGCCAGGACCAGAGATCAGCTCCCTGGCCATCTCCAGAGAAACCAGAGCCAGATCCTTCATCCAGCGTGACCTCAGAGCCTGTCTGAGGTTTCACCGGTGTCGAAAGGGGGGCGGCTGCAGAGGAGCCTCCAGGACCAGCTGCATGGTCCCCGCGGGGGGTGTCGTCTCCGGCAGCAGGAGCGTTACTCAGGAGGAATTCTTCATCTTCAATGTTTCCATTATCTGTAAACCAGAGAAGCACAAGGAAGGTTATACAACAGGTGACAGGAAACGCTAACAGAAAAAATGATAAAGATCCAGATATTTTTACTGTCTCAAAAACCCGACAGGATGGGATTTTAACTGCCAGTGTGGAAGTCCTTTTGTGATTAAACTGTTTGCTCACTCTCACTCTGCAGCTCAGGGAATTCTGCGGCCGGAGGCCTCGTGCTCTCGTCAAACATGAAGACGTCATTCTCGCTCACTACGTCGCCCTGAGGACCTTTCCACTGGTCAAAGGGGTCAAACAGGAAGTCCTCTTTGTTGAGGAAAATGTTGCTGGTGTCCGCCTCATGAAGCGGAGCGTCGGGAGGCTTCTCTGCAGCGAGGACGTTATCCTGAAAAAAGAAAGTGTACTGATGTTGATACGAATGGGTGTTCATGTCTGTGATCAGTTTCTTCTTCTGGTTCAGTTGAACTCACCATGTTGTTGAAGGCGTCGGCCGTTCGGCTCGTAGGTTTCACATCAGGTAACAAGTTCTCCGCTGCGGAACAAAGTCAGTGTTAACATCCTTTAATGCTCTTGGATCAAATGCACCAGGAAGGGAATGTACACCATAAAAAGATTTTACTGAGTCCTGAATGTCTTCTTTGATTGGCAGATTTAAATCTCAAGTGAGGGTCAAACTGGAACTTTAACATCATCGTTTTTAAGTTAAAACATTCTATTGAAAATCAGCTTGAAAATATTATTTATTAAGACTTAACGACAAGAACAGAAAGAATATTTCATCCTCTTTCCAATAAAAATACAACCATGTTTAGAGATGTGCACTAAAATAAAGACAAATAAAGTTAAATACCCAAATTCTTTAACTGTTAAAATTACAAGTTCAGAATTTTCAAATAATTAACTATCTGGTATGAAATATTAAAAAATGGGAATTTTCTTGATTTTTTTTAAAAAAAAATGTATTATTAATCTATGATAGGAAATTTTATTCTGCATATGTGTTGTACTGTAGACAAATGTTTTTATTTGCATGTTTGGCTGAGCTGCTGTGAACTGATGAAAAACTGTTATTTTCACTTAACTGTATTTAGCACCAACAAATCCAGTTAAAACACAACACTAGAATTAGAATTGGATAGAAAATGTCATCAGTTCAAAGTTTTATCCAATCAAATTTTGTCATAATTAGCAAATTAATTCTTGACTTACGGCCAAAAATATGTTTTGTGAGTTCACAGTGACCTTTGACCACCGAATACTAATCAGTTCATTGTTGAGTCCAGGTGGACGCTTGTGCCAAATTTGAAGAGGCATTTTTGAGATATTCACGAGAATGGGACAGACAGTCCGAAAACATAATGCATCCCCCCATGACTGTCGTCAGCGCAGAGGCATAAAATGTTTCTATTATATCTAGAATTAGCGCCAAATCCTGAAAAAGTTAGTATGAAATTTGTGGGAATTTACAAACCTGTTGAACCTTTTTTTAACGTAGCAGAAATAAATTTGTATTGATAAACATAAAAAATACCCCCAACAAGTCAGTGGGAGGAAACATCAAACAGTTTTTGAATCCATCAACGTTAAATCAAACTACCATTCTCCAGCTGCGGGTCGTCAGGCTGCGTCTCCAGGCTGCTGTTGGACATGAAGTTGTCCTTGTGCAGCGCCTCAGTGATGTAGTTGCGGAAGTCGGTGATGGTGTAGACGACGGTGGGCTGCTCGGCAGCTCCTGGATAGTTCTTCTCCACCAGGTTGTTCTGCAGGGAGATGAAGTCCAGTGTGTCATTGGCGATGCCGCTGGCGCTGTCCACTTCCAAGGTGATGGTGTAGTGCACCAGGACCACCAAACCTCTGAGAGGGAACATCATCAAAACAAAATCTCTTCATCTTTGAGGTTTTTATCGACTTTCTCCTTCAGCTCAACACTTTCTACTACTGCAGAGTTCAGGTGAGTTTTAGAGTGTCTCTGGAGGGGAGGGAGCACTTTCCTGGACAGAGGGGAGGAGGGGAGGTCGTAAACCTTTAAGAGTAATCCGGCAGCTGCAGGTGGCCGGCGAGCAGTGAGCGACTTATCCCACTTAAGAGCCGATTGACTATTGTTAAGGACATTAACTGGAAATTAGAGCAGAGTAACAGCAGAGCTCTTATTTACTGCGACAGGCAGCTGAGAGGGGGGCTTAAAGGGGGGGGGGGGCAGCAAGGACAAGACGACAAGGTGAGGAGAGGTAAACCACTCGTCTACACTTCAGATTCAGACTCTCAAATCAACACTTAGAACAACAAGATGAATCAGTTCTGGGGAAGTCTTTGTAGTCACAGTGAGACAAATGATGTGGGGAGACAACGTTGTGCTCATATACGGAACAACTTTTATTCCATGATTTCTAAAGGTTTGGTTCTCAAAGTCTGCCCTCTGAGTCCTGCTTCAACTTGACAGATAATCACACATTAATCAACTGGAACTTTGTGCACCATTAAAAATACGCTGAATTAGTGGTTACACATGACCCCGAGATCCTTGAACTCCTTCGCTTGGGGCAGTAACTCTCTTCCAAACCGGAGAGGATTTTTTGAAAATTCCAAACTTCAGCAACAGATTCACACCACGATAGCCAATCAGCATTGAGATCCTCCAGGGACGTATGATGCCGAGGACGTACTGGATTCAGCTTTTTTCATGATTTTACGCGTGAATGCACAAGTCAACACAAAGTGTTCTAGCATTCAAATTTGCGCAAGTAACATTATGCAAAAACTCTCATTGTGTTTGGTGAGCTCCTCCAGAGATGTGTGACACCAAGGACGTACCGGCAGAAGTTCATTCATCGATTCAGTGATTTCACGGGCGTATGATGCAAATCAACACAAAATATTCCAGTGTTCAAACATGCACGAGTAACATTGCGCAAAAATTCGCACCGTGTTTGGTGTGAACGCATTACACTGCAGAAAACAGTCAGCTTAAGTCGAGGCTATCAATAGTACATTTCATGTTAAAAACTGAATGAAATTAAAATTTTCTGCCTCTGCCCGACTAGCTGAGCTCACAGGTCCGTGGATTTATCAGACTGTTTCAGAGCGTTCTGGACGACCGTGATGATCCTGGCGTGATCATTTGTGAAAAAATAAAAGTCTGAAAAGAACCAAAATGGTGTCAAACATCCAGCTGATGAGGTTCAAATGAGAAAAACTTACCGTTCCAGGTCCTTCTGTGGCCTGAGGACAGAAACAGCACATCACATAAACATGTTAAAAACATATAAACATCTCAACAGTCTGTTTGTAACTTTACATTGAAGATGTCTCAGTTTATGATCAATAAAAGGTTTGAGTTCTCAAAGCAGCGCTAATATTTGCTCAGACAGTTATCGGGATCGTACTTTACAGGAACTCTACCTGAATTCAACGATGTAGACGTTCTTGAAGCCTGGCAGCCTCTCAAAGGCGTCTTCGATCTGAGAGTTAAAGAGAGAAAAGAAGTTTGAGTCTTTCTTTGACGTTTTCTTTGACGATTCTTTATTTGTTCCCTCTGAAGCGACAAACTGAAACAGCGGACATCAAAGAAAATGCATTGAATGAGAAGGTGTGTCCAAACTTTTGGCCTGTACTGTATATAAATAAAACTGTTTTTGCCTTTGTTTAAACAATGATGCTTCAAGGAAAGCAGAAAAACATCAGTGTAACAGCTGATTCATGACTGTTTTTAACCACAGAGTCTGTCCAGTAAAGTCTCAGCTGTAGAAATCTTGTATTTGGACTGAACACCCAGATTCTCCTGACTCCTGCTGATTCTATCAGCTCTGTTATCCACTTCATATTCCCTCATTAACGACCTCCACCCCGACATTCAAACCATAAACCAGCTCCCCGACGTCACTGACGGTGGAGCAGAGCCTGAAAAAGTCCCGGCGGTGAGGGGAATACACCGGCGACGATCTCTACTTTCCTGGCACGGCGTTGTTTTTCCAAAGTGAGTCACTGCTCGTATTGTGTATGAAGGTTTCCAGCTCTGGTTCTGCCTCAGCAGGAGGGTCATATAGATCGATCCGCTGGCAGGGCCCAGGAAACTCAAGCTCTAAAGCGTGAAAAACACTATGAGGCCTTTAAACCAGAGCCAAAGTCCTGAGTCGGCAGTTCTCAGGAAACCGCAGGCGAGTAATGAGCGTGCATCCTGGACGTCAGAGAGAGGAGTGAAGAGAAGGAACCACTGAAACCACTAAACCTGGCTGATGGATAAACTGAGGCTGCAACTAACAACTGTGTTTGTTAATAAGTATTAGTAGTATTAGTACGTGAAGATTTGAGGGATGAAGTACAAGTTTAAAAGGTTTGTAGTATTATTACAGCTGAGACTTTACTGGACAGACTCTGTGGTTAAAAACAGTCATGAATCAGCTGTTACACTTTTCTGCTTCTCTTGAATCATCACTGTTTACACAAAGACAAAACAGTTTTATTTATATATATTATTTATGTTATTTACATTTCAGAATCAAAATCACCCTTAAAGGCCAAGTTTGTGTCCAAAAACAAGGAATGACTCATTTTTTCTTTGGATTGTTCTTACACTGGAAAAAAGGAAACATATAGGGTACAAGCTTAAAAGGTGTGTAGTATTAGTACATGAAGATATGAGGGACGTAGTACAAGTTATAAAGGTTTGAAGTATTAGTACATGAAGATATGAGGGATGTAGTACAAGTTTAAAAGGTTTGTAGTATTAATAAGTGAAGATATGAGGGACGTAGTACAAGTTAAAAAGGTTTGTAGTATTAGTACATGAAGATATGAGGGACGTAGTACAAGTTTAAAAGGTTTGAAGTATTAGTACATGAAGATATGAGGGACGTAGTACAAGTTAAAAAGATTTGTAGTATTAGTACATGAAGATATGAGGGACATAGTACAAGTGAAAAAGGTTTGTAGTATTAATAAGTGAAGATTTGAGGGACATAGTACAAGTTAAAAAGGTTTGAAGTATTAGTACATGAAGATATGAGGGACGTAGTACAAGTTTAAAAGGTTTGTAGTATTAGTACATGAAGATTTGAGGGACATAGTACAAGTTAAAAAGGTTTGAAGTATTAGTACATGAAGATATGAGGGACGTAGTACAAGTTAAAAAGGTTTGAAGTATTAGTACATTAAGATATGAGGGACGTAGTACAAGTTATAAAGGTTTGTAGTATTAGTAAGTGAAGATTTGAGGGACGTAGTACAAGTTTAAAAGGTTTGTAGTATTAGTACATGAAGATATGAGGGACGTAGTACAAGTTTAAAAGGTTTGTAGTATTAGTACATGAAGATATGAGGGATGTAGTACAAGTTAAAAAGGTTTGAAGTATTAGTACATTAAGATATGAGGGACGTAGTACAAGTTATAAAGGTTTGTAGTATTAGTAAGTGAAGATTTGAGGGACGTAGTACAAGTTTAAAAGGTTTGTAGTATTGGTCTGAGGGATGTGTAATGACCTCTATTCAAGCAGTGAAATACTTCTGTAAAATAATTTTTTATTTCAGTTTAGTTAACAACTTTATTTTTCACTTCTTTTTTTTTTTAGGTGACCATGATCACACTTACTTGAATGTAGAAAAACTTCAGAGTAAACCTCGTAAAAACCAGCGTACCCTGCGTGTGAAGTGTCGGGCCAGCTGCTGGTAGTGGAAGCTGCTCGGGTCTCTCAGGGCGTCGTTGTAGGTTTCTCCTCTCAGCTTGAGGCTCAGCTCCACAACCTGGTCCTTCAGGGGCCTCTGGGGCCACAGCAGGGTGTCATCTATCTCATTACCGATCTGAATGTGAAGGAACATACAAGTTTAGTGTTGGTATCATATCAGGACCAGGGATGAACTGTTGGAGGATGACCTGGGCCCAGCTGTTGATCAGCTTAACCCTTAATACACATAATGTTATTCATCCCTACAACAGGAAATACTTTTTCCCTAACCTGATATGAAGTGTGCGCTGCACATGTGAGCATTTTTGATGATGGCCTCCGTCCAGTCGTTTGGTCTTATCACATTTAACCATAGTTTTGAGCCATGACTCCTTCTATTCTGGCTCCCAATAACACAACAAGACAAACACATTTTAAGACTCCTATGTAGCCTACAGCCCTGTGGGGGAGAGGCAGCTGCACCTCCAGCAGACTTTGTTACATTGGCAAGTATCGTATTGTTGTCCAAATCGTATCGTAATGAAACTAGTGATTTACACCCCTGCTATTGTACAGATTTGATCCAGTCCGCCAAAATCCTTTCAGAATACTTCTGAACAACTGGGCCCAGGCATTCTACAACAAATCAATATTTGCTTACCGAGTTCTCGTCCTCCAACCCAAAGGCGTTGTTTCCAAATAAGTTGTCCTCTAAGTCATAAGGCCTCTCTGTTAGATATGGGAAGTTACCATTGTTATACTCCACTACATACTTTGTTGTGACCTCCAGAGAGGGACCAGGGGTGGCCTCCTCAGTGGCATCCACTGCAGTGCCTTGCGTTGTCCCTGCAGTGCCTTGCGTTGTCCCTGCAGTGCCCTCCGCAACAGATTCTGGGGTGATTTTGGCAAGGGGCTCTGATGTGACCTCCGCTGGGGCCTCTGTCGTGATTTGATTTGCATCCTCTGCTGATACATCAGGGGAGATACCCTCAACTTCCTCTGGGACAACCTGAACGCTGTCCTCACTTAGGTCTTCTTCAGGTGTGCCCTCTGGGACAGGCTCATCAGGAAACTCTAGATTGACCTCCTCTGCTTTGGTGATATCTCCCCCTGTGGCAGTCCCTGGATGGGAAACCTCTGGCGATGTTTCACTCGCAGCCTCTGGGACAGTTTCTCTCTCAGGGAAAGATTCCGATTCTGGAACTTTCCTTTCAGGCTCAGTCACCTGTGTAGTACCCTTACTACTGGTGTCTGGTGCTTCTCTTACTTGGGGGTCTTCTGGAAGTTCCACTGTTACCTCTGGTTCAGGTATTTCCTCCACCTCTGTTGCCGGTGATAAAATTTCGGTATCTTCGGGAACAACAAAAATAACCGGAGTAATCTCCTCATCAATGTCTCGGGTTTCCTCAAGAGTCTCTGGGACAACTTCCTCAGCAACTTCTGGTTCAGATTCTTCTGTTTCTGATTCGGCAATACTGACTTCGTCCTCTGATATCTCCTCCAAGACCTCAGAAGTTGCTTCTTCTCTGTCCGATGGTTCCCCTCCTGCTGCTTCTTGTTCTGTATCTACAGATGTTATATCAAGATCCGATTTATCAGTTACCACTTCAGGCTCTGCATCTTGTGCAATTCTGTCCGTAGGTTCCTTCCTTTCATCAGCCTCTTCTATGTGTTCTGCTTCTTGTGGTGGTTCTCTGGTGGGTTCTGTGTCTTCTAAAATTTCTTCAACAAGTTCTGCTTCTTGTGTTGGTTCTTCTGTGAGTTCTGTTTCTGCCGCAGTTTCTTTTACAGGTTCCACGTCTTGTGCTGGTACTCTTGAGGGTTCTGCTGACTCCTCTGCAGTTTCTTCTGCAGGTTCCACTTCCTGTGCTGGTACTCTTGA